GAGCTCCATTCGAAAGGTTTCTTCGCCAGACCATTGTGTCTTTGCTCGACGTAGCAGACAATTGATGGCATTCCGTTCATGAGAGATGGTGTTGTTGCTCTCATAGTTTAGACGACTTTCCGCTTATGTTCCTTTGCGGTAAACGGATGTTTGTAATGTTTACTCAGTATTTCGCTGCACGAGAACATTCAGAAATGGAAGCTGGTTGTTAACCTTCTTCTCGAGTGCGAATTGAATGCCCGGAATAGGTGAGTTGATGGTATTGATGTTGATGTTTCGAGCTGCTTCTTTTTAACGACAACAAATATGTCATCTACATATCGTACCCATAACTTAGGGTTAATTGATGGAAGGGCCCTTGATTCTGGTTTCTGCATCGTTATTTCTGCAAGGAATCCAGGTATGGGTGACCATATTGGAGCTTCTTTTAATTGTTTATAGTATAGATGATCAAATAAAAAATTATTTTATAGGCAAAGGTCCACAAGTTCAGGTAAGGCACCTGCAGGAACCTTATTTTCTTAGGTCCCCAGGGCTTCCGCTGTGCATTGCCTTGCTACATCAAGTGGTATAGAAGTGAAAAGGGAAAAAACGTCGAAGGAGACCATTACCTCATCATCGGAGACTGTGATTTCCTTAGTTTCTGCAGAAACTCGGTAGAATTCTGAATGAAAGTTTTGCAATCCTTCGTAAGTGGATGAAGTTGACGAAATAACCACTTAGGGATTCTGTAGTTCGGTGCATTGATTAATGAAACTATCGGCCGCAAGGGAACTTCCGGTTTGCGAACCTTGGGTAATCCGTAGATCTTCACGGTGGCTTCTATGGATTGTTTCTGATTTTTGTGACATCTCCTGACAGTTTTTTCGCCCCTTTTAAGGCAGTTCACCACTTTGTCAATAGATGACATTTGCTTCTTGGTAGGGTCTGTGGGAAGAGACTATCTTCTAATAGCTATCTTCTAATAGTGATAGAATTTTCTGCTCGTAGTCTGATTTGTTCAAGATAGCAGTCGAGCCTCTGTTGTCTGCGGGAAGTATGATTATATTTTCATCAGTTTTTAAATTCTTCAGTGCTTTCTTTTCTTCAGAGGATAGAGATGAATATTGCTTCCGATGCCTTAAGGCATGGACAGCGCTATTTCCGATTTTAAACCGGTCATCGTCATTGAGGTCTCCTGTTAATAGGATGGACTCCAAGCTGGCTAGGAAGTCCATGTAATTAGAATCAGAAGGGTTGTATTTCATCTCCTTGGAAAGCATACTCTCCTCAGTTGCTGTGAGGACTCTGGAACACAGATTCACAAATTTTTTGGCGGATTGTCTGTAAATGCGGGCTGAGAAATAGTCGCCCATTTTTGGTCAGGAAGCATATTTTCTTTTGCATTTCGAGTTCTGTCACATCAGCAACTGTTTTACTCATAGATTTAATTAAATATATAGGAAGCACGTCAAAGAACGTTGGAAAAGACAGAGGCCGCACGACAGAGACTAAATGAGGCCAAACCTACCAATCACGTCTCATCCCATATAACTATTGATTTTTTCGGCAGTTTTGGCAATAATTTGTTCATTGCAACTTTTCTGTCAATCCGAAAACGATTTGGTGCTCCAAACTCAAAAAGGCACTCATTTAATGTTACTTTGTATCCCAAAGAATGTTCTTTTTTTCAAATTAAAATGTATTGGCATGCGTGTGTTCCAGTTTATACGAAAGCAAATTGGAATACTTTTTTATTTTAGAAGACCAGCTACATAGTATTACATTTTAAGTCTTTAAAGGATGCTAAGTACGGGGACAAAACTGGGAGGCTTTGCGGTTAGGAAAAACCTGAAATATGGAGTAAGATTTAGTGGTCTCATCAATCAAACAGGTTAAACAATAATCAACTAGCCGAAGTCTTTTCGACAGCAGACTTTTTATGCTTAATCTTTTGAGAGGATTTTTATCTCAAATATAATGTTTGATGGATCATGTATCATGTTAGCATGTTTTACATCTTCTATTTTATTTAAGTGTTGCATATTTTTCAGGTTGGTGTCTTCAACTGCGCAGAAATGTTTGTTACGCAGTCCGACACTGCATTATTAATTATATCTGCGAAACCTTTTTGCCATCAAAATGTTAGGCACAAATTATTAACTACCCATATATGTGCAGTGGGATTTCCATTTTTGATGAGGCAGCAGATAAACGTTCACGTATAGGGGTATTGCTATCCTTTCCTCTTAAACTTGCCTCCGATTTAAATGTAGACGTCAAAGCGATTGAATTCGAATGAGTCACCTATTTCAAGCACTGTCTGAGGGGTAGAGTTGTATGCCCGTTGCCCTGTGACACTTTTATTGTAAAATGAAGTTGAAGCTATTACACAGGTTTAAACTAATTTCGTTTTAAAAATCATTCTCCTTTAAGAATTACTTTTTGGTTGTCCTACCATTTATTTCTAGAAAACGTTCTTAGCCTTTTCACATAAATTGCCTGCATTCGTTTTTCGTGAATCATCCAGTAGACTAACAACAATGTTTGGTACTTGCTTAACTTGCTCCTCTGTCAGTCATTTGTAACTAATGCGGTCATATTAGCTAAAGACTTGCACTCACTATACGATGTCCTTATAAGAACTTCACTTTCACCCCTAATTTATTCTCCTGCAAGGCAGTAGCAATGAATATTCAAAAATTGAATGATGTGTGGCATCGTGCGATGTGGTGCAGCGCATTGCCCCCGAAAGAGTAAACTCCTCATTTGTCAAAACGAAGTTATGCTCTGTTTTCAGGGCATTAAAAAGTTGTATTTATCTATTCCGAATTCTTTCCAAAAATTAGCAAATCACATTGGAGGGCAGAATGTGTATAGTAAATCCGTTTTAAACCAGAATGCTGAAATTGCACAACTCTTACCTTCACACAGAAGATAAGGGAAAATGGTAGGGTGAGAATCAGGAGAAGATAGGAAAGTACAACCATAAATATGCTGCAGCAGTTTGTTCCAGGTGATTTTTGAGGGGCTGTAAAAAATGAAATATGCAAACAGTGAAATATATACAAAATGAAATATACAAATATTTAAAAGTTAAATATATACAATATGCAATACCATATACGATATAAAAAGTGAAATATACACAAAGTTAACTATACTTCAATCGAACAACTGTGTTATCAATAACGCGCAGCAGCCATCAAGGAAAGCGTATAAAAAATAAAGTAAATTTGTTTAAAAAAACATTATATACCTTTTAATCTATAATTTTGCTTTCACGACGAACTGTAATACTCAGTCTTGCTAAGCCTCATTCTCTGTTTATGAGTGTTCTCTCTTTCCTCTGGTTGTATTTCGGAAGTAACAGTTTCCTGACGTTGTAAAAGGAAGCTGAATGTATGCCTCCGGAAATGGCTGCAAAGAATGGAGACTGTGTAACTACTTCCTTTAGAATACATTCATCCTTAGAAAGGAAGGTGGTCAATACGAAACTATGAACCCCTCGTACTATAGGTAGGCTCTCGCTAAGTTAAAGAGGGTGCCATTTGTAACCCTTACCTACAAAATAATGACCATGCTCCTGGAATGTACGGCTAGGCAGGTTCTAATATGGCAATAAGTTTCCAGGAGAATTAGTTTATTGTTGAGCCTTACGCAAGTGAAATGGGAAAAACTGTAGTAGGGTTATACCGGACGTTATGAGAATTTTGCCGGACGTAGTTCCCCGCAAAATTTTAACTACAGTCAAATGGTACCTGGACCAAGTGCGGTTATGAAGATAGGAGTTATTCTCTGTGAAAAAATTACGTCATCAGTTTAAGATGGTTGTATGAGCATTGGGTCTTTTACTGCTCCTACTAAAGGTTAAAATGCAACTCGAACTTTTGTTTTTTCATCTATCTCTGCAAATTCTGTTATCAGTTGATCTTTTAGCGTTTTTAGCAGAAAAGCTAAATGCTCGCAAACACAAAATACAACAACCTTGGCATATTCCTTAAACTCCTGAAGTAGTCTGTTTAAGTCTTTCGTGCCAGAGGAGTCTCACCTAATGACGTTTTGCTAGAAGTAAGCCAGATACCAAATAACGCCAGTTACACCTGTCTACACTCAAGCAAACTTTAAACAATAGCCGGCCGGCAAGAAGTCACAGCACTGGTATCGAATTAATTCGTAAAAAGTGTAGCTGTCAGCATGAGAAGCAGAAGCTATTTGTACGAATTAAGGCAAATGTTTGCATCCTGGGTATGTGTTGATAGGCGTATCGATCATCGGAATCCTAATTATATTAGTCTGAGCTTTCCAATTCTTTTGAGAATCCATCGCCAGAGATAAAAGCGTCAACGAAAAACAAGCAACATGTATAGGGAGCAGGGGCCAATCAACCGTTATAGGTGGGGAGGGGGAGGGAGAGACTAATTAACAACCAGTGCCGTCAGTACGGAGAGTCCGAGGATAATTGCCCACGTCGGCAACGAGAAAAGTCTAGGCCTCGGAGGACAAATCAAGTCGACCGATGTATCGAGCTGGCGCCCGCATACATCTGTCCATCTCTCGACTGATGGCACTGGTGGTTAATCATTCCCTTCCTCCACACGCCCCCGCCTAGAACGCATGATTGGCCCCTGCCCCTATAAATGCTGCTTGTTCTTAGTTGACGCTTTTATCTCTGACGATGGACACCCTCAAGAATGATTTCGGTTATCAATACGCCTTATTCTTCTCTTTCTACTAACTGATTGTAGAAATTGCATTTCTAGAAGCATTTATGTGTGTGAAACTAAATTTTTGCTTTATACAGGAAACGAAAATGAACGTTACTTAATATTCGGAAGGTAAGTGAGAGTGACGAGTACTCAAATATGAAAAGCAAATTTATACTATGAAGACTGAACTAGTTGTGTTTGATGACATTAGGCTCAACCACGTTCTGTGCAATAGACTTCGCAAAGAGAAAGTGAATTCATACTCATAACTTATGGTTTCTAAGCTACTTACGAACCGTATGTACACTAGGGTTGGGAAGCGTCTATGTCTCTTCACACCGCCATCAACATGATCAGGCATCAGAGCTTTTACAAAATTTTTTTTGAGTTTCGGGTCACAAACATTCTTAATGATCATCGCGTCTTACTGAAAAAGAATGTTTTCGTAGGCTGTTGATGACGGGAATTTGAGAGCTCGGCGAGGAATTGAAAGTAGACAGTTAAACAGGTTAAACTGTGGGATTTAGGACTGAGTATACACATAGGCGACGCAGAGTTCTACAGCCTGCGTATCTTGAGGAGAATGGTTTAACCAGATTCTGCCAAAATTGCCCTTTTTCTCTGCAAAGGGCAAATTAGCCAGTGAGAAACTGAGTTTGTCAGAAAGACGATTACGGTGCAATGTTTAAATATGGTGCCACTCTAGTTGTCCTTCAGATTTAACTTGGATGATGCCCCTTCTCTTACTTAATAGCCCAAATCGTAAATTTGGTGGATGAATTGCAAACAAAAACATTTTGTGACCTTTAAAGTTGAACTTTCTTATGTCATTGTGGCTAAAAATGACTCTCTGGAGGTAAAACCATATTTTTTCCTGAAACACAGCATATCAACATACGCGAAAATGCCTATTTCGCTGATTATGGGTATATTTTGCCAAATTTTATTCAATATTGTGATCGTAATAAACAAATGAAATATCTTCTGTAAACGAAATATTTACTTCTTAAGGGTCTGAGGGCCATGCCTACATATGTGTTTTAAGGTGATTTGAAAAGTGAACAACCATCTACTTGGCCTTTGATCCTCATACCCTTTCGGTCGACAATCCTTGCGCTAATATTGGTGGGTTCATGCTCTCACGGAAAAGAATTCTGCGTTATGGGTGGACAGAAAGCGTTAGTCCCAAGTTACTTGAAAATTACTGAAAGGGTGGGCGTAATCGATATCTCATCGCTACTCTCCATGCCCTCTGGTAATATTTCCCCCTTACTTGCATACTTCTCCCTTTAGTTTAATGCGAAGCAAAAATTAGCCTGCATTCGCGATATTGCTGGTTAGAGGTCCTACGTGGATTGCTGAAGTCAGTTGCGAAAACGAGCTCTGCCTTCTGTGCCTAATTTTCTTTGATCGTTGGAGCTTCAGTTTGGGGAGTGACTGAATCGATGTTCTTTTCCGCTTGTAGATTGGGGTTTGATTAAATTCGTGAAAGGCAGTTTTGAAATTATTACTTTTAAAGACTTTAGAGAGGGTATAATTAAGGGCAGAATACAATCCTTAACTTAAATTCTTAC